AAGTGTATATAGCCTAATTGCAGGCATATCAGGAGGTGAGCTTACATCTGCACTAATTGGAGGATTCACAAATATTTTTATCACGGATTCACAATCAGTCACGGATTCAAGATTTTTAGGACACAGAGTCACTTTATATATATTTTTATGATTAATGGGACTATGCTTTTGCACTAAAAATTAATTTATTTATTTTATGAGTATTTATTCACGGTAATTTTTATATTTTGTCACCAAATTATGATTCACTATTAATCATTATTTATTATATAATCACGAATATGGATTAATATTATACTTTTTTATAAGTTATTATTCTATATATGAATTTATGATTATTTATGTTCAGATAACTTTTTTATATTTGAACATTATGAAATATAATATTCACTTTGTCACTATAATCTAATAAGTAGCGCAACACAAGATGATGATGTAATAAGTTCATATTATTAATAATAAGAGACAAAACCGAAAAACTGAGGATCTTGTTTCTCAACAGTCCCATAATATTAAGTCCATAATGCTGTTTTGATCACGTTGCACTTGCTTCTGTGACATCCTTCCATGGTGATTTTCATTTGGTACAGTGTATTCAGTAGAGGCCTGTGAATCAACTTTCCTGGCTTTCTGAAGGTATACTTATGCTTTATTATTGTGGGCACAAATACAATAAAGGAAAACACAGGTTTCCTCAAGAGTACTTGTAAGACAGATTCATTCAAAGTGATGTTTATCTAGTACTTCTGATTATTATGAACCATTGTTGACAATTGCTATAGATGTGGCATACTCATGAGACCCTTTTACATTGCCACATTAACAATTTGGATGGTTATCACCTTCAGCCAGTTTCTATGGTTTTAACCATTTCCATACCGGGCACTTTTACCCCCTTCCTGCCCCGGCCATTTTTCAGGTTTCAGCGCTCTCACTCTTTGAATGACAATTGCGCGGTCATACAACATTGTACCCAAACTAACATTTTACCATTTTCTTCACACAACTAGAGCTTTTTTTTGGTGGTATTTAATCACCATTGGGGTTTTTTGCTATATTAACAAAAAAAGGCCAAAATTTTTTTAAAAAAAAAAACGTTTTTCTTGGTTTCTGTTATAAATGTTTGCAAATAAATAATTGTTCTTCATAAACGTAGGCCAAAATGTATTCTATTACATGCCTTTGGTGAAAATAACCCAAATTAGGATGTATTTTTTAGTTTGTAGGAAAGTTATAGAGTTCACAGACTATGGTATAGATCTGAATATTGATCAATCCTGAAGTACTGACAGCCAATCTAATTTCTTGAGGTCCAAGAATGTCAGAACAGTACAGATATCCCCAAATGACCCCTTTTTGCAAAGTAGACCGTCCGACGTACTTCATAAGAGACATGTCGAGTTTTTTTAAGTATTTTTTTTATGTCATAATTTTTCAGAAAATGAAAAAAAAAATTATTTTCACTATTTTTTTTTTACATACTGTCACCAGTGCAGTACAGCATCATCATATAACCGGCATGGCGGTGATCAGGGACACTGACTGGTGACAGTATGAAAAAAATATATATATAATTTTGTTTTTAATTTTTTTATTATTTTTAATTTTTTTTATTACAGTTTTTTCTTTTTCTTACGATTTTTTTTCATATTTCACTATGACCAAAGTAGTACAATGTTACCATAGTAACATTGTACTACTTTGGGGAAGTGATCAGTATTTTTTTTTTTTTTTTTTACACAATTTGCTTATAGCAAAGAATTACTTTGCTATAAGCAAGCAGTTACCTGAATGACATCGATTCATTCAGGGTTTTTTTCTTTTTTTGTGCTTAGCTGTGATTTGGCCACAGCTAATCACATGACACAGCTGGGCTGTGATTAGCCTAGCTTGTGCATGTGATCGCTGTGACCAATCACAGCTACACACACTAGTATACAATGGATGGCATGAATGAAGCCATCCATTGTATACAACTGTGATTGGTCACAGCAGGTCACATGGTATCGGCAACGGGGCCGGTACTCAGATCTGTCATTGGCCAATCAGTGATTACATGAATAGTAGTAAGCCATGATGTCACTTCTGACATCATGGCTTACTACGTGTGAAATCATGGTACAGGGCCATTCACAACAGCTTTGTACCATGTGACAAGCTGTGACCAATCACAGCGCGCACTGTATTTCTCAGTGGCTGCAGGAATGCAGCCAGAGAGGAGGAGAAATGATTGCTTTTACAGCCTTTATGGGTATAAAAGCAATCAGTGTTAAAAAAAACAAACAAATAATATAAAAAAAAAAACAACAATGCAAAAAAAAAAAAAAAAGTTTGAAAAATTATAATTTTTGGTTAAACTAATTTGATTTTTTTTTTTTTACTAAAAATATAACCAAATAAATATTGGCCAACATTTATGAAGAAATATTATTTATTTGCAAAATGTTATAAGAAAAACACTTTTCAAAATGTTTGGACTTTTTAATTTATATAGCAAAAAAAAAAAAAAAATCCCAGTGGGGAATAAATACCACCAAAATAAAGTTTTATCTGTCTCAAAAAAATGCTACAAAATTCATATGGGTACAGTGTTGCATGACCCCGCAACTGTCATTCAAAGTGTGATAGTACTGAAAGCTGAAAATTGAAGTGATTAAAACAAACATAAAAATGTTGCTATGCTTTAAGGTCCTCTTTTCAAAGTATTTTGCTTATTCTGGGTCAGATCTGGATTATCCACCGATGTTCTAGTATTCTTCCTAAAATACCAAACTCAAAAACACGTTATTTACACACGTTAAAAAGGACATGAGTGCATTTGGAAGAGAAAAAAAAACAAACAAACATACTAAATCGACAAAATACCATCAAGCACAAAATAACATATTATCATGTATTTTCCCAGTGACAGGGTGAATGAAAATTTCACTCTGAGCCACAGGAAAGAAAAGGAAAAATAAAATTTCTACATTTTCTACATTTTCTGAGGTATAATGATTAAGATGTTAGATCAGTGCACAGGTTCATTAGCCCAGGGGTGTATTTACCACATGGCAAACAAGGCATTTGCCTAGGGTGCCATTTTTTAGGGGGGCAGCACTGACCCCCAGAAGAAGGGGCATATGTGGCATGGGGACTGGGGGAGATCTGAGAGAGGCTGCGGGCTGCTTGATGGCATATGCAGAGCCCTATTGTCGTTCCGGGAACGTCCAGAGCTGTGAAGGTGAGCATCTTTCTCCCTGGCGCTAGGAAGGGGAGGGTGGGTATTAATGGAAGGCTCCCTCGGGTGGGGGTGGGGCAGGGGTGTTGTTGGTCACTGTCAGGCTCTCTCTGTGGGGGGGGGGGGGGGTCTTGTGTTGGTTGGTGTCAGGCTCTCTGTCGGGGGGGCATCTGATTTTTGTCTTGCCTAGGGCAGCACAAAACCTAAATACACCACTGTCATTAGCAGATAAGATTTTTAAAAAAACATTTTGGTACCAGTACTGAGCTCATTAGAAAGGGGAAAGAGAAACAAAAAAAAGTAAATGCATGCGTTTAAAAGGGATCACATTTCTCATTGATGGCCATCAAGCAATGGTGTGTTCACACCCCTGAAAAAGAGTATTCCTTTTCCACATATAGACAGTTCATACACATCCAATACATCACATAGACACACCCATTAATTGAAGTCATCCATTGAATCAAATACTTCATGGGTTGAGAAAGTTTATGTAATTCCAACTAGATTACTACGTGTTTCCTGCAAACAGGAGAAGAAAGGAAAGAAATTCAGCTGAAACAGGAGTAAGCTTCTGTCCTAAGCAATACTTATACCCATATATATATAATGACAATGTAGCGACCTGTCACAGCGTAGAAAGGATATTTCACCCGGGATTCTCAACAAGGCAGGTTGAGGGGCTCCAGGGTACTTGTAAAAGTGAAAAACCTTTTCCTCTGCATTAAACATTTGTTTATAAAGTGCATTTTGGGACCTGGAGCTGGAGATTTCAAAGTGATTTGGGAGGGAATGAAGTCTCCAATCGTCGAACCAGGTTTTGGGAATAGCCAGGAGACTGATTGGTCAGGTGTGTGTGAGCTTCTTCTAGAGTCAGGACCAGGGTTCTGGGCTCCACCCCGGCAGACAGGAGGTCAGTGCCCAGGAGTCAGGAGGGCTCCACCCAGGAAAGGTGGAAGCAAGAGCAGCAAGGGGCTGTATACCTGCGAGAGCCATGAGGCTGAATATTTGTTTCATTTGTATTGATGGTGGATACCCCAAACAGAGAGTCTCCCTCTCTATCTAGGTCTATAGTTATAGTTCTCTCCTTCATTAACTTTCATGGAGTATCTCTGATTGGTTGGCAAATCTTTTCCCTTCATAATTGGCTAACTTCAAATCCCCTGTATTTAGCATACACCAACCCCCTGTAAGGCAAATCTTGGTGCACCCTTTATGGAATGTAAGCATGCCGGTTCATGACCTTTTCCTGGGAATTAAGTATACATGAAAGGCTGGTCCACCTTCAATGCATATCTAAATGAGGGATCCCCTGAAGTGAAGCCAACAGGTTTGGTCCCATTGTTAGATAAACTAACTCTGGCACTGAACTTTCTGAAAGAGGATTCTCAGCAAAGACTTCTGTTATACAGTAAAGAAGGTGTAATTAATAGAATATTCCCTTTGACAACTATAGTATCTATAGAACAGGAATTTATGGGAAGACATATTGCACACCCACACTGATACAGCTCTAACTGAAATATCTTCAGAATTACAATATTATTTACAGTGTTTAATGGAGATTTCACATAAACTCATTATCTAACACAAACAACAAATTGATGTTATGTAAGACATGGAGTGATTGCCTCAGAAATGTACCGTATTTTTCGCCGTATAAGATGCACTTTTTCTTCCCCAAAACTGGGGGGGAAATGTCAGTGGTCTTATAAAGCGAATATGGAGCGGCCGGTCCGGTATTTCCACCGCGGCCGTGTCAGAATACCGGGCCGGCCGCTCAGCTCTGCAGCGGGACCTTACCTGTTCCTCTATCCAGCGGCGTGCTGTCTTCCCGGCTTCTGTAGTGTGGGCACTGGGCATGACAGCCGGGTGCCCAGTGCGCATGCGCGAGAAGCGGTGCGCTTTGTGAATGGTAATGGGGTACCTGGGACACATGACAGATCCCAGAAGCCGCCGGACCAATCACAAAGCGCAAGTGCTTCTCGCTCATGCGCACTGGGCACCCGGCTGTCATGCTGAGCGCCATTACAGAAGCCGGGAAGACAGCGCGCGGCTGGATCGAGGAACAGGTAAGATCGGAGTACCTATCAAATTCAGGTACCCGCTCCCCACCTCCCCAATGGTCAGCAGTCATCTGTGCTGTCCGCAGTCTCTGGTCATCCCTGTGCTGTCCGCAGTCTCTGGTCATCCCTGTGCTGTCCGCAGTCTCTGGTCATCTCCTGTACTGTGTCTGCAGTCCATTAGTTCAGAATTTTTTTTTTCCTGTTTTCTACCTCTAAAACCTAGGTGCGTCTTATGGTCAGGTGCGTCTTATACGGCGAAAAATACGGTATATATTGAACTCTGAAGATTTATCCACCCAAAATGTATATATTTATTTGAGGGATATCTGAGTATTGTTCGTTTAGGTTCTGTGCATCTGATATTATTTATTATGTGGATATTCTGTTCATCATATTGTTATTTTTTGTTTATTTTGTATTATGGAGAAAATAAAAAATGTTGGAACACACGAAAGTTAAGGAGGATCTAAGGCAGACCATACATGGAGGAGCAAATTCCTTTCCTGCAACCATGGACAGTGTTGATGGGAAATCCCTCACGAAGAACCATTGTCTTCTCCCAGCAGGGATTGGGGAGCAGTCCCCCCCCCCCAGGAGAAGACTGATTATTATACCAACCACTAGAAATAATCGCATGTAAAATCCAAAAGGCTGGCTGTACCCAAGTTGGTCGATCGATCAAGTTAGGTATATTCAGCCTGCCCATGCATGGTTTGAGTCTAGGCTGCTTCCTGCTGAACTGGCCAAGATTCGAACCGAGTGTGGCCAGCTTAACATTACCATTGTATGCAAGAAATCTAACATAGGAGGAGCTCCACATGTAACTGAAATATCACTGCTCTGACTGGCAAATAAACTCCTACCAACATTTCCCTTTTAGTTTGATATATAGCGGGGAAAGGTTCTTCAGTCCAAGATAAATTACAGAGATCAAAATTCAGTCTTGTACTGTATACTAATCTAATACTAAAAATCATTATTTTCATTTAAACTGATGAAACCAAAGTATGAATGATTTGTACAGAAGGAGGGGGCAGCAGAACTTCTGGCTCACTTCACCACATTGAAGTAAGCCAGAAGTGGGAACCTGTCAAAACCAGGTACCCGCTCCCCCCTTCCCCCCAGAAGGTGCCAAACATGGCAGTCTAGGGGGGAGGAGGCAAACAAGCGGAGCTTCCAATTTTGGGTGGAACTCTGCTTTAAACTGAACAAACCAAAGCATGACTGATTTGTACAGTCACAATATTTATTTTGCAGAAACATTTGAGTACATAGTTTCTAAAGCGAGCAAAATCTTCTCTTGTATTAGGAGAGGTATAGACTCCAGAGAGAGATATCATTTCCCCCGGTACAAATCATTAGTAAGACCTCATCTGGAATATGCAGTTCAGTTTTGGGCACCAATTCACAAAAAGAACATTGGGGAACTGGAGAAAGTACAGAGAAGGACAACCAAACTGATAAGAGGCATGGAGGAGATCAGCTATGAGGAAAGATTAGAGGAACTGAATTTATTCTCTACTGAGAAGAGGAGATGAAGGGGGGATATGATCTCCATGTATAATACATAAGGGGGGATATGATCTCCATGTATAATACATAAGGGGGATGTGATCTCCATGTATAAAACATAAGGGGGGATGTGATCTCCATGTATAATACATAAGGGGGGATATGATCACCATGTATAATACATAAGTGGGGATGTGATCTCCATATATAATACATAAGGGGGGATATGATCTCCATGTATAATACATAAGGGGGGATATGATCTCCATGTATAATACATAAGGGGGGATATGATCTCCATGTATAATACATAAGGGGGATGTGATCTCCATGTATAATACATAAGGGGGGATGTGATCTCCATGTATAATACATAAGGGGGGATATGTGATCTCCATGTATAATACATAAGGGGGGATATGATCTTTATGTATAATACATAAGGGGGGATATGATCTCCATGTATAAATACATCAGTGGTTCATATAGTGAACTCGGTGTAGAGCTATTCACCCTGAGGTCATCACAGAGGACAAGGGGGTGCTCTTTATGTCTGGAGGAAAAGAAATGTAATCTCCAAACACGGAAAGGTTTCTTCACAGTAAGAGCTGTGAAAATGTGGAATAGACTCCCTCAAGCATTGGTTCTGGCCAGCTCAGTGGATTGCTTTAAAAAAGTCCTGGATTCTTTCTTGGATACACAGAATATAACTGGATGATTGCCTCCCGGGGGATCAGGAAGGAATTTTTTTCCCTGGAGGAGCAAAATGGATCATGCTTTGCTGGGTTTTTGCCTTCCTCTGGATCAACTGTGGGTATAGGATTATAAAGTTTTTTTTTTTTTTTTTTTTTATGGTTGAAATGGATGGACTTTTGTCTTTTTTCATCCAGACTATGTAACTATGTACACCATAAAATCATGTTTTTTTACACATTTGCAATGTAGTCATCTACTTAAGCTTTATTAGGCAAATCAAATTATTTTCATGGCTGCAACACTCAACATTATGTGTTTACAATATAAAAATAGTAAAATATTAAAAATGTTTTCTGCTTTCACATGTGCATGAGCTTTTAATTAATACAACATTAAGTTGACACGAGTTAGTTATATCTGAGACTTGTATGGATTGGTGTTTGTTTCTTATAGTCTCCTTTGCGCTGTGTCTCTCTATTTCCCTCATGAACCTTCTGATATGATTTGCAGTTTTATTTTAAAAAACACGTATTAAATGCAGATTTTTATGTGGTTTATCTTCCGTGTAAAGCTCTAAAGCTGGGTCAAAGATTTTTTTCATTTAAAATATATCACATTCATTAATTAGGCTGGATAACTTCATTTGTCTTAGCATTTAGCTTCTATGAGAAATCCTTGTCACATTGTCCGCATGGCTTCTCTCCTGTGTGAATTTTCTGGTGTTGAATGAAATGTCCCCTCTGTGAGAAGAATTGGTCACATTTTGAACATCTATTTGGTTTTTCCCCGTGTGGATCCTCTGGTGTATGATAAGAACAGAACTGCATGAGAAGCACTTTCCACATTCTAACATTTTAAATGATTTCTCTCTTGTGTGGATCCTTTTATGAGTATTCAGATGACAATTTCATGAAAAGCATTTGCCACATTCTGAGCATTTTTTTCCCGTGTGAATCCTCTGGTGTGTAAGAAGACCTTGCTTGTAAAAGAAGCACTTATCACATTCGGAACATCTAAATGGTTTCTCTCCCTTGTGAGTCTTCTGGTGCGCAACAAGATTTTTCTTATGAAAGAAGCACTTGTCACATTCAGAACATTTAAATTATTTTTCTCCTGTGTGGGTTCTCTGGTGTGTAACAAGACCTTGCTTGTAAGAGAAGCACTTGTCACATTCGGAACATCTAAATGGTTTCTCTCCGGTGTGAGTCATCTGGTGTGAAACAAGACTTTTCTTATAAAAGAAGCACTTGTCACATTCGGAACAACTAAATGGTTTTTCTCCTGTGTGGGTTCTCTGGTGTGTAACAAGATTTTGCTTGTATGAGAAGCACTTGTCACATTCGGAACATTTAAATGGTTTCTCTCCAGTGTGAGTCTTCTGGTGTGTAACAAGACTATAGTTTAGTGAGAAGCACTTTTCACATTCGGAACATCTAAATGGTTTCTCTCCCGTGTGAATCATCTGGTGTGTAACAAGACTTTTCTTATGAAAGAAGCACTTGTCACATTTGGAACATTTAAATGGTTTTTCTCCTCTGTGGGTTCTCTGGTGTGTAACAAGATTTTGCTTTAGTGAGAAGCACATATTACATTCCGAACATTTAAATGGTTTCTCTCCAGTGTGAATCTTCTGATGTGTAATAAGACTCTGCTTTAGTGAGAAGCACTTGTCACATTCAGAACATTTAAATGGTTTCTCTCCCGTGTGAATCTTCTGGTGTGTAACAAGACTTTTCTTATGAAAGAAGCACTTGTCACAATCAGAACAGCTAAATGGTTTCTCTCCAGTGTGAGTCTTCTGATGTAAAACAAGACTTTTCTTATGAAAGAAGCACTTGTTACATTCGGAACATTTAAATGGTTTCTCTCCAGTGTGAATCTTCTGATGTGTAATAAGACTCTGCTTTAGTGAGAAGCACTTGTCACATTCGGAACATTTAAATGGTTTCTCTCCCGTGTGAATCTTTTGGTGTGTAACAAGCCTTTTCTTATGAAAGAAGCACTTGTCACATTCGGAACATTTAAATGGTTTCTCTCCCGTGTGAATCTTCTGGTGTGTAACAAGACTATTCTTATGAAAGAAGCACTTGTCACAATCAGAACAGCTAAATGGTTTCTCTCCAGTGTGAGTCTTCTGATGTAAAACAAGACTTTTCTTATGAAAGAAGCACTTGTCACATTCGGAACATTTAAATGGTTTCTCTCCCTTGTGAGTCTTCTGGTGTGTAACAAGTCTATGTTTTAGTGAGAAGCACTTGTCACATTCTGAACATTTAAATGGTTTCTCGCCAGTGTGGGTTCTCTGGTGTATAACAAGAATTATCTTATAAGAGAAGCACTTGTCACATTCTGAACATTTAAATGGTTTCTCTCCCTTGTGAGTCTTCTGGTGTGTAACAAGACTATTCTTATGAAAGAAGCACTTGTCACATTCAGAACATTTAAACGATTTCTCTCCAGTGTGAATCTTCTGGTGTGTAACAAGACTATGCTTTAGTGAGAAGCACTTGTCACATTCTGAACATTTAAAGGGTTTCTCCCCCGTGTGAGTCCTCTGGTGCCGAGTAAGATTATGACTATGTGAGAAGCACTTGTCACATTTCGAACATTTAAATGGTTTCTCTCCTGTGTGAGTCCTCAGATGAGCATTGAGTTTGGACTTAGAAGTAAAACTCTTCTGGCACTCAGAGCACTGATACAAATTGTATCCTACTTTACTCATCTTCTGTAAATGACACTCAGTTTTGCTGTGAATTTTTTATTTTTAACAGGTATTCAGTTTACCACTGAGCTTAGTTTTTCACCTATATGAAAAATAAAAATAGATGTTTACACAGGTGTTAATAGTAACAACAGACTAAAAAGTATAGCTATACAACGAAACTGATTAAACCGTATACATTTTTTTTTATTATTATGGTGACCATAGTAGGGTTTTTTTTTACAGGAATAACTAGACTTGATGAGTAGTTCTAATCCAATTGTCATTCAATTCTATAAATTTATTTCTTATATAATGCACCAGATGAATACGTTTTCAGTTACTGTTCTACAGCAAGAAAACGAGGGGTCTGATCTGTAAACTCCCAGTTATGTCTAAAGCTGGGTATACACACTTAGTTGTTTTTTTCTTTTCAGCCGGTGGGCAAAATGAATAAAAGAACGGATTCTCCCATCCACATTGTTGTGGTGGTTTATGTAAGGATATATATATTATTTATAAAGGGCGTGTCCCTTTCCCTTAGATGAAATATTACAGTGCCTCCAGCCGTTAAAATACGGCAAATATTTAGTAAACCAATAATTTGGACACCTTGATAATTTGATCACCACTTATTATTATACCTTGATCTTTTAGCCAATATGATTTCGTACCATACACACAAAATTTGCCTTATAATAGATAAATATAAAAATTTATTTATGTACAAAAATTATATATATATTAACACAAAACGCAAAAGACTGGTGATAAATGAATATTGGTACACACAATCAAAAATATATCCTACCAATGTAAGACACAATAATAAGGTCTCTAACTAATTACATCAATCACAAATTTTAAATGATATGATATTTATTAAATTTATTAATAATAATTAATAATTTAGAATATCTCAAAGGTTATATTCTTACAAGCCGTGGCCATAGGATTGCAAGAAGCAAGCCCTTGATATATGATACTCTGGTTATTAATATTCAATAAATTATGAAATATGAAAAATTTTATAATATGGCAATAAACAATTTTTAACAGTAACACAGTATCTTTCTACATATATCTAACTACCCAATATTGTTATGATACACTAAGGTAATTTTATGATTCCACACAACAGAGAAAATAATAATACAAAAATCAAATAAATATCTCACCACACCCGGAATTCAGACTAGGCAACTCTCCCGTGGATTTAGCTGGCAGTGGAACGCCTTTAGACTGATATATAGGGCAAGTGATAGATTCAGTAGGGGAGAATGTAGGAAGTTATAAGATTAGAGGTTTAAAGTTTTAGGAAGTTTGAAAAGATGGAAGAGTAGTTATTCAGCAGAGATCTTCTTCAGATGTCAGGTCTTTCCATGAGGTTTTTATGAGGGATCCTCTTTTTCTTAAAGCACATGGGCTTTTATATCCACTAGTCCATTGTTCTAAGATACCTTCCCACCAGGCTTCCTGATTGGCTAGTTGAGAAATGTGTGTACATAAGCTATTTCTCACCTGCCCGCCAGGTGGCGGTCATGTATCACAGAACAATGTGAGTATTTGAGATGACTCATACCTTGGGTGGAATCTTCAGGTAATTTCAGGAATAAAATATACGGCTCTTTCCAGATATAGCAGTGATCATACCTATATTATTCTAAATAGGGACCATGGAATATAGGTGTATATTCAGTTATTCCTCCTTGAAGTACCATCCTGTTTGTTTCCTGATAAGACATGTAACTAATGCTAGTCTATAATACATCTTACTTCCCATCATCTCAATACTCAAATTAGTGATATATAGTTCCCATTGCTGAGTATTTAGTGGTGTTTTAAAGTCTATAACATCTTATTTATAACATGTTTTTGTAGTATATTTTTGTAATTATATACAGTGAACTTTTAGACTTAAATGTCCTGAATTTCACCTCTTTGTTTCAGAATCAACATTTTCTCTGTGTAGGAAAAAAAAACTCTCTGTTTGCCTGGCCCTTGTATTGGACTCATGGTAAACAATTGTTAATGCTTTCACCCTTGGTGAACAATAGTATATGGTAATAGTTTCAGAGGTCTGTTGGTTCATCACACTCTACAGGTTTTGGTTAAGCTTTCAACCAGTTGAGTTCCCGTCTCATTATTGTTAAATGTTTAAAAGTCAAAGTCCTATCTGGCTATGTGTTTGACTTTTCTGTATGTGCATTCTTCTCAACCTCCATATACAAATAGTCCTTGTTGACAGTTCAAACAGTCTTATTGTCTTGGAAAAGTTTTACTCCCCCCATTCTCTTCATTTCTTTAACTAGAATTCTTGATGGTTCAACCAAGACAAAATTAACTCTTAGCATCCGGCTATGCTGAGCTGTTTGCCATATAATATTATGTCTTGATAAAAGTCATATTTTTGAGACATGATTCAAAAGCCCACAACAACATATGAAAGGCGGATGGAATCCTCTCCACCGTGACATTAATCTGACAGCGGATCTCTGCACTGAGGGAATACAATGATCAGCACATTCAGCCGATTGGCTGCAAGCATTGGCAATGAAAGTTTTCCAGTGTGGCTGGAATATAACCTACTTTCTGTGCGTTTTGGATGCAGAAAAAATGCAACTGAAAACACATGTAGTGTGAACCAGGCCTAAAACAGAAATTGTGAATGTTACTCTGAACCCTACTGATGTCTGTCAGGGATGGATTTTGTAAATCAGTGTTGGCCATTTTCCAGGCTAATAGGCAAGGGATTGACAATAATAGGTATGGAGAACTGGGCAAAGGGAAACATGTACCAATGTTAACAAAATTGCCATTCCGCATGTAGCGGATCTTTAATTAATGTTTACAATAAACCTTAAAAAATGTACAATTCCTTTAAATAACATGTTTGATTGATGCCCCAAACCTGCCTGTAAAAGGGGCACACCTTTACTGCTTTTGTTTATTTTGCGTTTATTTTTCATGTATTTTACACATTTTGATTATGTTTATTTTTCATTATGGAGAATATAACAACAAAAATTCCGGAACGCGCAAAAGTTAGGGAGGCTCTAACATTGCCAAAGTCCCCAAGAAATATAATAAAGGGGCTCCACCTGTAACTAAAATATCACTGATGTGACTGACAATTTAACTCCTACCAACATTTCCCCTTTAGTTTGGAATATAGCAGGAAATAGTTAAAATCTTCAGTCCAAGATAAATTACATGGATCAAAATTCAATCTTTTATGCTAATCTAACACTAAAATGAATATTTACATCTAAAGTGGAGTTCCAGACGTTTTTGGATAATGATCCTAAACACACCTCGAAATCCACGGGGGATTACATCAAGAGGTGTAAACTGAAGGTTTTGCCATGGCCTTCACAATCTCCTGACCTCAACATAATTGAAAATCTATGGATAGACCTTAAAAGAGCAGTGCGTGACAGACAGCCCAGAAATCTCAAAGAACTGGAAGACTTTTGTAAGGAAGAATGGGCAAAGATACCTCAAACAAGAACTGAAAGACTCTTGGCTGGCTACAAAAAGCATTTACAAGCTGTGATACTTGCCAAAGGGGGCAGTGCAAGCTATAAATTCTGCAGGGTGCCCAAACTTTTGCAGACGCCATTTTTTTGTTTTCTGTTATTTTGAAAGTGTAAAAATGATGGAAATAAAATCTAACTTTTGTTGACATATTATAAGAATGTCTAATCTGTAATTTGATGCCTTTTGGAGATTTTTCCATCTTTCCTTGGCTTCTTTAAGCACATTATTACAAATTTTTAGCTGGGGTGCCCAAACTTTCGATCCCCACTGTAGATACATTGTTGCAACCACTATAAATGTCAAGGAACTGTCAAAGAAATAGCGGAGCTCTCTGCAGGGACACTTTTTGCCGGCTGTAGACGGGATGAAAATCGGCTGATTTTTTTTTACCATTGCTGGTAACGTCGGCCACTTGAACGACCGATTTTTTCGTTTTTTTAAAAGAAAAAAATCGGCCCATTTTCGACCCGTCTATGGCCTGCATTAGTTTCTGTTATAAAATTTTGTAAATAAGTAATTTTTCTCCTTCACCGATGTGCACTAATGAGGCTGCAGTGATGGACACCGATAGGCTACACTGATGGGGAGGCACTGATGGGCATTGATAGGCATCAGTGATGGGCACTGAAAGGCAGCACTCATATATGGCACTTATAGGCGGCACTGACTGGAACTGTTAGGCGTCACTGATGGGCACTGCTAGGCAGCACTGAAAGGCAGCTCAGATGGGCACTGATATGTGGCATTGATGTGCACTGATGGGCACTGGCAGGTGGCATTGGGGCACTGATGATCAGTGTACATGTCCCCTCTGAGGGATGTCGATTACCGGCTCTGCTCTCCTCTTGAGCTGTCAGCATGACAGCTAGTGAGGAAAGAAATGCCGATAACAGACATTTCCTTATATACATGCGATCAGCTGTGATTGGACACCGCTGATCACATGACAGAGTCGATGTCATCGGCTCTTTCCGCTGATCGGTAATCCGCTGTGTCCAACCGGCACCACCGATCACCGCACTGCACGCCCCTGGGAGCGCGCACGCGCTGTTAGACCGGGGGGACATCATATGACATCCTCCCAGAATGAGAGACCCGCCTTGCGCCCGTCATTACCTTATATAGCAGGCAGGAGGCGGTTAAAAGCCTTTACAGGGTGCCAATGGAGAGTTACAGAGGCCTGTAACTGTAAACATCCCTTGTGACAGTAATAGGCAGTGACAGGCACTCTTTCTGGAGAGATCTGGGGTCTATTAGACCCCAGATGTCTTCTCTGCCCTTAAAAGCATTTGATCACACCAAGATCAGTGTGATCAGATGCTCTTCTATTTTAAAAAATGGCGCTGTTTACATCCGGGAAACCAGAATTGATGAAAATGCTCATTGCTTCCAGATTCCTATACCATGGAGCTCGTTGGGAACCAGCAGAAGCACCGGCTTCAGTCCTCAGTTTTCCGGTGGGATGTAGAAACCGGAGAGGT